ACACACACACACACAGAGTGAACCATACTTTAGAATTTGTCAGGGTAGTACAGTTTTGTTTTTCCCACCCGATATGCCTGACGCTGGGGGTACGTGGTTGATTTATGCAGATTCCCAGACTAAACTGAACTAAATTAAAACTCACAAAAACATCCTGGGAAAATGTGGGTTTTTTGTTTTGTTTTGTTTTGTTTTTCTGTTACTTTTTTGGTTGTTTGTTCGCTTGTTTTACTAAATTCCTTAAGCAACTTGTGCCAAAAGTGGAGGGCAACAGAACAGACTAATATTAACACGCTTGTATCCATTACCGAACATGTGTAATATTAAAGTCACTAGTGAATGGCAGGGTTTTTATGTGTTAGGCACGTGACTCAGTGGTTGAGGGCATTGGTTGCTCTTCCAGTACACATGGCAGCTCCAGTCCCTGGGGTTGACTGGGGTGTACAAGTGGTGCACATACATAGATGCAGGCAAAACACTCATGCACAGAAAATAGAAATGCCTTAAAATTTTTAAGTTTATTTTCACACACACACACACCTTTAAAGTGCCTTTCACACAAACCATTGGTGTGAGGACTGGAGGCTCAGAAAACATTCCTACATCTTAGGTGCAGAGTATCTAATTTTATACAAAGTTTCAAAAGAGACTTAAGGCACCCAAACATTATTTCATTTGTTTGTAGTATTTATGCAGTGAAAGGTTTAAAAATCTCATTACAAGTGACCATTACATGTGTTAACAGATGAATGTGCACTTATGGGGATCACAAGGTGGGAGAAGTAATAAATAATTAGTGGTACATTATTGCAGTGTATTAACATTGATTTTGTGTGGTCTGGCTTATCCTGTCATCTTCTATCTCTTGGCCCACCTCAATATTCATTGGGCTACTCAGACATTTGAACTTAGAAGTTTGTTCTTCTGTGAGATTCCCCAGAGAGAGAATACAAGAAATTACTTTTTATCTTTTCTCATGTAAGACAAAAGTCCTGGGACCTCTTAGAAAATCTTAGGAGCCTGAGACTTACTGGGCGTACTGAGTTCTGCTCTTTTCTCGGATTTTCCTAAGCCATGAACTTTTGAACAGGTGGCTTTCAGTCTTACATTCCTTTTGTGTTGTCCAAAGATGGCCTGCATGTAACAGGGCAAAGACCTGCTGTTGTGGTACCTTGAGAATGCAGGGAATACTGATTGGACAGGTAAGTGTTGTGGTCAGAGTAGGAACTCTGAAGTATGTGTGTCTCATTCCTTTATCTGCAGAAAGTGCACCAGCACACTGCTAATCCTTTTTCCCATTATTTTTATTGCAGGAAAGAATACATAATAACATCCAAGTTTTATAATTAAGTAGAAAGCTGAATAGCATTAACTACTGTTATTAACCACTTACTGTATTTCCATCACCCCCATCCATCTCCAAAATTTATTTCTCCCAGGTCTCTCCTCCTTCCAGGCCCTGATAACCACCATTCTCTTCTGTTTTTCATGTTTTAAGTACCTCAGATAAGTGGGTTTATACAATATTGATCCTGTCGTGTCGTCATAGTATTTAAATCTCATCAGATTTATGTGACGTTTTAGCAGCAGTCGTTATGCCGGCTGTCACCAGTGTTAAATTGTGCTGTGACAGGAAGTGCCTCCCAGTCTCACTGCCGTCTGAAGGTATAAACTGGAACTTACGCTCTCAAGCAAACAAACTCATTAACACTGTCATACTGCTAAGTTCAGTTTGGGAACCTATTTATCTTAGTTGAGTTCCTTTTGAATCAGCAAATCCTAAGAACTAAGGTCATAGAAGACAGGGCAGGCCATCAAAGAATATGACATCTAACAGTAGTGACTAATGTCAGTTTTTAATGAGACAAAAGACAGCAGAATATATGGTATAGATTTAGTTTTCGGCCTTCCTGTGTTTTCTACACAGAAAGCTTTTCGAGTACTTAATCAAAAAGGCAGAGATAAAAATAGGCTATTTAGTCTGGTTGTTCACACCTTTAATCCCAGCAGCTGGAGGCAGAGACAGGTGGATTTCTGTGAGTTTGGGGCAAGCATGGTCTACACAGTGAGACGGTGTTTCAAAAAAACAAGCAAGCCAAAAAAAAAAAAAAAAAAAAAAAAAAAAAAAGCGGGACCAGGCCATTCATGCAAGAGTAAAAATTGACTTTGACTTTCTCTGTGCTCTGAAGAGTAGAGTGGAGGGATAGTGTCAGCCTGCCAGGCTAAGCTGGAGTAAAGATTCATGGCAGCACCAATGGCCTTCCTCCCTGTCCTTGGTGACTGGGGCCCACCGTGTTAGGCAGTGTAGCCAGTGTATGTAGCCACATCCTAATGTCAATTGAAAAGCAGCTGGGATCTGGCCTTCAAGAGTCACTGTTTCTCCTCTGCCTGCCAAGAAAATAATTTTGTGAGATGCAAGGTACATTATGTGAATTTGTGAGCCGGTTAAGCATTAAAATATCTGTCAAAAAACAGCAGAGAACTACAATGCAGCTCTGGTTTTGGCTTGAAAATTTTATTGTTCTGCCAGAAGTCCTGTTCCATCAGCTCTTAACAATAGAGGGCAAATTTTGTGTGAATATCAGTAGCCAAAGAGATAAAGAGGGGAGGCTCTCCAATAAGAAGCAAATGGGGTAAAATTGTTTTAGGGCCTGAATAGACAACCGTACTCTGGGTTCTGTTCTTTTGAGACAGAGTCTCGTGTGTCCCTGGCTGTCCTGGAACTCACGGTGATCCTCTTGCCTCTGCCTTCTGAGTGCAGTGCTGAAATTAAAGCTGTGTGGCACTACTCCTGGCTATAACTCTGTTTCTTAAGTTGGGGGTTCAAAGTCTACAAATAAAATCGCTTATTTTGCTTGTCTCTTTTGTAATTCTGAATTGTATGCATTTTAAAGCATTTTGAGGGGCAGAGTGCTGGCTCAGTAGTTTCAAAACACTGGTTGCAGCCTACAATCCACAACCCCAGAGAAGCTAGAACCTTTTCAAGAAACAGATGGAAGCAGATGCAGAAATCCACAACTAACCACTGGGCCAAGCTCCTGGACTACAAAGTGAGGGTGGAGTGATAATTTGAACAAAGGAGTCAAGAGCATGATGGGGAAACCCACAGAATCAGCTGACCCAAGTTAGTGAGAGATCCCTGGCTTAGGTCTGACCATGGGAAACCTGCATAAGACCGAACTAGACTCTCTATTATTAATATAGGTGGCAGTGGTTGACTGGGGCAGTTTATGAGACCACTGGCAGTTCGTCCAAGTTTTAACATTAATGCACAAACTGACTTAGTGGAGTTCGTTCTATATGGACAGATACCTTGCCTAGCCTAGACACAGGGGTGTGGGAGAGGTGCCTTGGTCCTGCCTCAATGAAATGAGACAGAGGACAGGCTGCTTAGACTTCTTAGGGGAGGCTTTACCCTCTCTGAGGAGCAGGTGGTGGGGGGAGCGGGAGGAGGGAGGGAAGGGGACCTGGGATTGGAATGTAAAAAATAAAACACTGGTTGCTCTTCCAGAGGACCTGGGTCCTACTCCCGGCACCCACATGGTGTCTCACAAATCATGTGACTCTAGTAACAGGTTCTGATGTCAGTGGACAAGTAGTATAACAACAAAAACAAAAATTCTGAGATGGGAGTGCAGGTGCATGCCTGTAGTCAGTCCTCTTCACCAGATCGAGGCAAATGGATCTCTCAAACTCACAAACTCAGGAGCAGTTTTGGCAGTACAATGAGACCCCATCTCATAAAAGCAGAAAAAGCAAACAATATTACTCCAAAGAGAAAGATTCATATCCTTTCTCATCCTGCTTTAGGGGTTCGTGATCTAAAACACTCAGAATCACCGTATACTTAGAGAGGACAGATGGCTGATGGCTGGGGCGTACCATTCAAGGTAGCTCTTCCATTATCTTTCTGCAAGTGCTTTGCCCAGATGGGGTTTGTTTATTTTTGTTTGAAGGGGTTTTTGTTGTCACTAGCCATACCTAGAGTAGTACCTATGGTGGTTGTGGCAGGTTGGGGTGTGTATGTATGTGTCTATGTTCGTTTACTTGTTCAGGCTATTAAGTGAATCTTCATTTCAGTGGTCGCAGGTCGGTTCTTTGGTACTTTTCAAGCTCATGAGGCTGGCTGGCTCTCTAGTACTAATATTGCTGGAAGCAGCTAAGTGTGAATGGGTGTTTTTTGGCAAGGAACAGATTTTCATTTTAATTGACACTTTCTTTTATATACTAAACCATGGATGCCAAGTGCTTTCCTCACTAGTAGTTGTAAATGCTAAATCTATACATGGCTTCACCACCTCCTGTCAAGATAAATGCAAGCTTCATTTCCCCTCAGAGGAGTTCAAAGGAATAATTTACCCCTGGTTTGTTTGGAAAGATCTTTGCAGCCAGCCTCATGTGGACCCAGCTGCAAAAATTTCCAGTGCCTAAAGCAAGCTCAGCAGTCTTTGTTCCTGTAAAACATGTAGCAGTTGGAATGAGAATTCAGATTGCTTGCTTGTTCAAATTCTGTGATACAGAGGTGTTGGTAGGAAAGTCTTAAGTGGGGGTATGTTGATGTCCTCAAAGTTCAGCCAGACACTGTTACATTATAGCTAAGCAGTTATTTATAGAGAAAGGAAACTGGGAACCCAGGGTAGGGGAGAGGGATAATAAAGACTGTCATTTCTGAATGAGTGCCTTAGAAATGAGCAGGTTCACATGGTCTCACCAGTGATCCAGGTCTCTGAGCTGAGGCATATTGACCTGCTAATAAAAACCCAGGGACTGGTTTACCGCTCAACGTAAGGAAGGTTTGCTGACACACTTTGAGATAGTTTATTCTAATAACCAAGTGTGAGAGTCCATCGGTTGCAGCCTCATGGGCTTTCTGTGACCAACCACAGCAGCTTCCATGCACTTGCCCTTCAGTTAGGTTTGTGCTCTTGAGAATGAATGGCCCTGTGAGTAGGTAAGGAAGTTACCTTATTATCTAGGCGAGGGAGTTTTGCTGCAGAAAATCTACTGTGCTAAGCAGAAACAGGATTGGAATCTGGCTCTTAGGACCCTAGGCCACACATTATTTAAACTGTACTAGCCACACTACTTCAAAACAGACTGATTTTCTGCATGCAGCCTCTCAGATTCTAAGCCTGCTTGTAGAATGTACACCTGAGGACCTGAGCATTAAAACAGCCCACAGTCCTTGAGATTTTCTTTGATGATAATGTCTGTAACTGCATCAAACACAAATTTGACATTCTGTGTGTCTGTAGCACAGGTCATGTGACTGTAGATTTCTTTGACATCTTTTCTCATGTTGAGGTCAAGGAACTGGCTCTTGATATAATTCCCAGCATCTTCATAGGAGTTGTTCCCTGGTTTAAAAAAAATTAGTAAAATGGAATAAGTTAACCTATAGTGCTCAATTTTCAGGTGACTAATTGGCTTCTTGGAACATTGCACTAGACAAATATGGTCAGGGACTGGTGGGGGAGTGAGGACTGTCTTTCATGGAGGTGGCTGTTGGAAGTAAGGGCTCTATGGTGCCTGCAGGTGACAGGTGACCATCAGGGGCATGGGGGCTCTAGCATTCATGCAGGTGACTGTCAGGAGTGAGGCTCTGTCAAGCCTGCAGGTACTTCTCACTTGAGTGAAACAAGGCAATGGAATGGAAGGTCTCTGTGTCTCCTCTGTGTGCACTTGGCCTGTGGGATGAGGCGACTCCATCACTGCATCGCTCTTGTCTGCAGTGGTCGACACCTACCATCATACTCCGGGAAACAAATGCTGAGGTGGACTTTTTTAATTTTCTCCTCAAAGAGGTCCTTCTTGTTGAGGAAGAGGACGATGGAAGTAGCCGCAAAGAACTTGTGGTTGCAGATGCTGTTGAACAGGTGCAGAGACTCATGCATGCGATTCTGGTGAAGAAACATTGTGGAATAGCAGATCAGCTTGTGGGATGTGTCTGTTTATTCCTGTTCTAACTGAACAGACCCATGTTCCAAATATAAAGGGAGAGCAAGGGAACAGATCATCTGTTTTTAGTGTGGTGGGGTACAACCAAACATTCAGATTTCCTTTCTGTCATATTAATAGCTCTGATTTGATGATTAGCATCCCAGAGTCTTGGTTTTCTTACAGAGTTATGAATGCTAAAGAGGGCGTGTCTGTGGTACGCATGGTAGTAGCTGGCTGTAAGAATACTTATATGTGGAGATCTTTAGCTGCCAGAGTCCAGGTAGCATCCATAGTGCTGCAGTTAGACTGAAACCAGGCCCAAATTAGCTCTTAGTTACTTGCTTTTGCTAGGCTTGTGTCAGGGGATCCCAGATTTCAGCTGGGGCATGACTGTAACATGGATTCTTTGGCCCCAGTGCCATAGGTAAGGACTGGAGGATTCCCAGTGCCATACCATCAACTCTTCTTCCTTCTTCTCTCATAGCTACTTTGAAAGAGAGGGAGGAGACATGTGTCTGCGTAGTCCAGCACTAGCCAGTGCCCACATCAGGTGAGCGTTTAGGGACCTGAAGTGTGCCATTGGCTGACTTGAATTCATCCTTGTCATCTGATTAGGGAAAACTGATTTGTAGCCTTTCCTCGCTGTCAGTGCTCCTGCTGTTGATACCTGGTAACGTCAGGGTAAAATGGAAGTGATCTTGGGTGTATATGATGCTATAAGACATTTTGGTTAAAGGTAGAGTGCTCTACTGTGAACCCTACCAGTTACGGAGAAGGGAGGAGAAAAGAAGCCGGGGTGGCAGTGGGACAAAGGCTGTGTCTTCTGTTGAGCAGCTGGCCAGCATGGGAATTAGTGTGTTCATCTTTTATCTCAAGAGAAGGGAACTGACATATAGACATCTTAAGTCCATCCTTGCATGCCTGTTTCATCTCTCTGCTTCCTTTTAGCATCACTTCCTCTTGAGCTCTGTGATGGCTGTAAAATGCTTGGATTCCTAATCTCAGATCGAACTCACCCTCAGTAAATTTGGAGCTTTGACATGCTAACCTAGCCTACAGCAGAAAAGGAGTTTTCTGGGGCTACTAATAAACTGAGGTAGAGATTGCTCTGCCAGATGTCTAGGCTGTCAGTGTTAGCCAGTTGGGCAGTGAAATGACAAGGTTTGGAGAAGGGGCTGTGAAAACTGACCCCCTGAAAGTGGTGTAAACACCACTCACCACTTCGTCATCTTCCACCAGCACCGTGTCGTAGGCACTGAGAGCAGCACAGAAAATAATGCAGGTGACGCCCTCAAAGCAGTGGATCCACTTCTTTCTCTCTGATCTCTGCCCGCCCACATCAAACATCCTACGGGAAGAGACAGCTGTTCTCATGGGTGTGGACAACAAGTGACTCACTTGTCTTTGGTATTCACCCCGAGAGGCGGCTGCTTGGTGAGGGCCAGTTAGTAGCCAAATCAGAAACAAGCAAGAGGAGGAGGGCAATAATTTGGATTGGGCTTTGGCAAAGGTAAAGAAACATGCTGTGAGACCTGCATTGCCCCAGTGAACCAAACGCTGACCTGAAATTCAAATCTTTAACAGAAAACTTGGTTTCGATGATGCCTGTGGTTTTGACTCTGGATCGAAGCACGTCTTGCTCATTAGGGAGGTAGTCAGGGGCTGTAATCCGGTCCAGCTGGTTCAGGTAGCTAGCAAACAGAGAGTAGCATTGGTGATGTTACGGTCTTCCAAGTCAAGACTAAAGGAGGCCAAGGTTCAACCCCTAAGTCACACAGCTAATACAATGATAGACGTACGACTGGCGTTTACAGCACTGAATCCAGGATTGTGCAAATGTTCACGTCCTTAGGAAAGAAAGAGGACAGAGGGCCACACCCACATGAGGGGAGGAGGGAAGTGTTCTGTCCTCCTGACTAAGCTTTTCTAGACCCTTGAATAAGACTTGTTTAAATGTGTCCAGAGTTCCATCAAGAGAGGAAATAGATTGAAAGAGACGCTGAAGACACAAGAAGGCAAGGCCATGCGTGGGCTTTTTCTCCTGAGCCTAACGGGAATGTGAACACACTTTGATATTTGGAGATATTAAGGAATTATTAAATATTTAGGTTTGATTATATGAGTTCTTTGCATTTTAAATACATAATGAAATTGTTAGGATGAAGTGATAGCTGCACAGTATTTTAAAATAACCCAGTGGGAGGGGTGTAAAGTGAGCGAAGGCCATGGACCAACCTCGAACTGCCTGGTCTCCTGTGTTCCACTTTTGTATGTTTAGAAGTTTTCATAAGAACAGGAGGAAGTTCACGAAGGGTAGAAAGAGGGCAGATGTGAAATAAAATGACCTAATATGGAGAGGGAAGGAAAATGGACATTTCTGGTACACACCATCTATTCTCAGAAGTAAATTCTCACTAAATCTTAGAAGACTTGGAGATCCATGTCTGCACTTTGTAGATAAAGGAGAACTTCAGAGGATTACTTGGGAGGCTGAGGCAGGAGGACTGAGTTTCAGGCCAGCTTTGGCTACAGAGTAAGACCCTGTCTTAACCCAAAATAAGAAAGCATGGAGGCATACCATAGAAACTCAGCATTGTGGTTGTGTGGACCTGGACCCAAATGCAGCCTCTGTTGTTTATGTACACAGTCCTTGCCAAGTTATCTAACTTTACCTGACTGCAGATCTTCTACTAGAAAACGGGACTAATATACCTTGAAGGCTGGTGTGCAAACAGGGGTCCTGAGATAGAGTGTATGTTGTGCACCTAGCAGGAACAGAACCTTACTTAGGAAGAAAGGATTCCAGAACTAAATGATAACATTATTGCAAGATGAGGTGGCAGAGGGGGTAAACATGGGTTTGCTTGGCCTTACAGCTCATGCCCACATCTGATACTGTACTGTAGAGGGTTGATAACTGTGTCTCTTATCTTTTTGGAACCAGCTTTGCAAAGTTGATGGTCTCAGTCTGGCCATCTTTCTCTGGTTTGCCTCTTGAGATAGGGCCAAGGACTGCTAAGCAGAGCACCTGTTTTGAATTTTGTGTCTTCAGCTTCATAGACTGCAGAGAGGCAGCATAAAGGAATGCAAAAACGGGAACTGGCAGATGTCTCTGTAGCCTTAAGTTCAGTTTGTGGGTCTGCAGCTCCCACGATCTAGATCTTAAGGCTGGGTAAGTTTTCTCCTGAGCACCATCCCCCTCTCTTCCCCAGAATCTTACTAAGATGCCGAGTCATTGAGCTGGAACTCTGCAGCTCTATCAAAGCAGGCTTGAACTCCCCTGTCATTCCACAACTTCCTGATGACCTCCACCAGCTCAGGAGGCATGGTCCCCTCCTCAGTGGAGTCAGCCAGGTTGTCGAGCTGTCGACCAGCATCCTGTATAATTCAGAAATGTGGTTGAGAATGGGCTAGGAGAACTTTAGTGACTTCTCAGGAGGTTTCTGGGAACTTACTGAATAGAAAGCATGTTGCATGGCTACCAAAGCCTACAGTAGAACCGTCTGAGTGAAGACAGAGTGTAAGGAAAATGCTAATTTACTTTGAGCATGCTCACCAGATATAGCCAGCCCTGGGATGCCTAGAGGATAGTCCGGGATGATCCTTCAGGCTTTAGACTTCAGATTAGGCTGAAAGTGGATAGCTAGAAAGTATAGGTCCTTTGCTGCAGGGACTGGAAATTTAAAATTGGCCCTGCAATACATAACCTAGTGTGTTTCAGTGTATAAAAGGCTAGTGTATTAGCTTATAAAAGTTCCATGGCTAGTGCAAGAAGCTCAAAGAGAGTATTTAAATAATAAAATGAGGTTAGAGGGCAAAAAGATGCTGGGAGTCGATTTTGGAAGCATTTGTTATAAAGGTAGAGGTTGTTTACTCTCCTAGGACTAAGATGGTCTGAAGCTTAGCAGATGTGATTTGAGTTACCCAGAACTTTTTCTTATTCGACTTTCCTTGTGGTTTGTTGGTTCTCTTGTCTATTTCTTCTCCTGCTTCCACCCTGAACCAGGTAACATTAGTCACATACCGCACAACTTGGTTCAGCGTAGTCAATGTCTAGTGTGGACATGGCTCTGATGATAGCCAGGATGGACTGTAACACATTCCCGTAGATGACAGATTTGAACTCTAGGCATTCTTCTGGTGAGTATCCATCCTGGTGAATGATCCTTCAAGGAACAGACACCAAACTTAGTGGGACCTGAGGAACCAGCCTTAAGGGATTGGGACTCTGGGGGGGATACAGGAGTCATAGAAAGCCACTGTATTTCTACTGCTGTCTCCAAGTGGGGGGTGAGGAAAATCTGGTCCTTTGGAGCTAAGGACTCTGCTCAACATCAGCACCGCCTCCTTCCCCCACCTCACTCCTCCCAGGGTTGTGTGCCACTCACTTCATCTGTTTGACGATAGTGCTCTTTCCTGACTCTCCAGCACCTGCAAGGGAAATGTCCGTGCCATCAGCTTCCACCAGTTCTCCTCAATGGTCCAGAAGATGGTGTGTGAACCGTGCTTTCTGGGAGACTTACTGAGAGACACTATGAGTTCAGGCCATCCAGCCTGGACTTAGAGCAGCTTTGTCCCTGTTGGCACTGTTTGCATTGGGGACCATTCCTTGTCTCTACCCACTAGAGGCCACTAGCATCCCACTCTTAGTTGTGACAGATGTCTTGTTCCCATTGGGAACCACTAATAGATTAATAGAAATTCCTTTCAAAATTTCACACTGCCTATTTTTGACACAGGCAAGTAATCCTGGTTAGGATTGGAAAGAGCTGGGGCTCTTCACTGAGATACTGTTTACCCTACCATGATGGTGTTTGTCATTGGCTAAACCTTCTAATGTCCTTATTAGGCAGTCCCATTGCCCATCCAGAACTCACATTCCTTCCAGGCCTCTACTGCCCTGATCCCTCAGTCTCCTCCCATCTTGCCTGTGCTTGTTTCCTCTAAGCTGCTTATCCTGAACCTAGACAATCTGCTTAGGCTTAAAAGATCTATCTGTCAACTCTGTTCCTGTATGTGACTGCTGAATTCCTCGGTCTAGGCCCATCAGCCCCTGTTCCTGTGTGGGACTCCTGAATTCCTTGGAGCCTGGGTCCAGCTTACAAATAGGCCCATTTAGTGTGTGTTTGGTCTTTACCACTCCGGTCCCCAGGTTCTTTATGGAAGCCTGTCCCAGGCAGCCAGGTTTCTGCTACACAGATCCAGTGACCCCACTTCAGTAGTGACATTGGTGTTTTTGTTTCTTGGGTTTTTCTTGAGCCAGGTGTCAGCTTCTTATGTTCTGTTTGAAGCCATGATCGGCTCCCATGAGTGACCCACGGAGGTGCTTTTATCATCTCTGCACCCACCAGTGATCCGCTTAGCATGTGTCAAGTTGACAAACCTTCCAGATGTCAGCGGCTTTAGACCAATTACTTACTAGAAAGCCAGGAGGGCATTGTGTTGTTAATGATGCCATCTCTCCTATGACCCTCCCCTCCCCAGGATCCAGTCACTTGGCAGAAACCAGTAGGCTTATCCTTGAGACTGTGTTAGGATCACGATTATGTCCCTTTGTGGCTCTGTAGCTGAGAGTCCTGTTTACTTACTGTATGCCACAGTTCTCTGACTGCAGATTTGGTGTGTGCCTGGTGGTTCTTGGTAGTTGCTGAACCAAAAGAAGGCATTGTTGCTGTTGGGCAGCCCAGTTTTGTCCTTGCACTATTCATAGTTCAAGGAAAAGTAAAACAATTCCAGTGACCCTGACATTCCGGGTCCCCTTGTGGTGACTGTGCAGGCTCCATATTAACTCAGCTCTAAGCTCTGCTTGGTTTCTTAGCTTGAGACTGGACCAGGATGAGAAGAACACACCTGGCCCGCCCTGCCCTGTGGGATTGGCCAGACCCCATCAACCCACCAGAAAAGCAAAGATGATGAACCACTAGTTCACCTGCTCATACCACTCACCGAGCAACAGCAGCTTGACAGTTTTGGCTTCTCTGTCAGCATCCTCCTGCAGCTTCTTTTCCAGCTCCTTGGACCTCTTGGCAAGTTCTTTGTCCTGAGCACTGACTCCACTCCCCATCTCTGTTGTCTCCTCAGAGAAGAAGGGCTTTCTCTAGCTCTTCAAATTTCCCAGTACTGTTCCTGTCTGTGAGAGAGAGAGAAAGAGAAAGGACAGGATGGGATAGAGTAACATTCTCTTGCTCCCATAAAAGCTGGATGACAGTGAGGACTGCCAGTTCCTGCGCCCTGCCTACCGTGGCTTGGGACTCTCTACTTCTAGAGAACTGCTTCTTAATCTAGGGATTGCCCCCTTTACATCTAGCAGTATGACACAGCAAGCCAATTAGAAGCTCTGCCAGTTAAAGGGCAAAGACTCTGATGGTCTATAGGGAGGGAAATGATCTGGGTTCCGACACAGCAGGGTAGAATTCGGGCACTGGAGCTCTGGGAGGAAATGGCCATCTCCTTCCCCTTCTGAAGAGCTTATCCCTAAAAGCCTCTGTTCCTGTGGATCCACTTGCTTTGGAGAGCTGATGGTTAAGGGTACTCCTCAAGTTGAGTCTTCAGGTTATACAAGGTCTTGGTTTTAGGCAAGACGTGTGCTGCTCCAGGGGCTATTATTTTTTCCTTTGTGCTGGTTTATCTCTCAGGATGCCTAGCATGAGAGAGAGAGAGAGAGAGAGAGAGAGAGAGAGAGAGAGAGAGAGAGGAAGTCTTTCCTTTTTGTTGTTTTTTGTGTTTTTGAGATGGTTTCTTTGTGTTTCCTTGGCTGTCCTGGAACTCACCAGCATGATCTCTGCCTCACAGAGTGCTGGGATTAAAGGTGTGTTCCACCACCTCCTCACTCTTTTCCTTCCTTCCTTCTTTTCTTCCTTCCTTTCTTTTTTTTGGAGACAGGATCTTACTATGTATCCCTGGTTTGCTCTGACCAGGCTAACCTTGAACTTAGAGACCCACCTGCCTCTGCCACCTGAGTGAGTGCTGATACTAAAGGCATACGCCACCGCATCAGGCTCAAGCACTTATCATTTCATATTGTTCTTTGTTTTCCTAGATTATTTACATCTGTTACATTTCTTCCATTCACAGACTAACTCTGATTTACCTTTGAATTTGTGGTTTACTAGTGGGTCCTGATCAAATAGTTGGTAAATGAAGACAAGGAAAGGGAGTATGTGGTAGAGAAGTTTTGTTTGCTTCCCCTCACCCCACACCAGCTTCGCTTGGTTAAGTGAACTTCGTTGGTATTTTGTGTGGGCAGTGTGTCGTGTCCCCTTACACAACAAACTTCTCCCTTGGGCAGTTAGACTCTGCCTACGGAGAGGCTGGGATAGCCCCGCCCCCACGGCCTCATCTTGGCGGTTGTTCTGTGGGAGTAAGGGTGCAACCTAGCAGTTGCTGCACAGACACTGAACACACCTCATTGGCCAGAGTTTCATTTAATTGAGTCTTCCCAGTGCAAAACCCCCTCACCTAGAGAGACTTTAGAACAGTGGTTCTCAACCTTTCAACTGCTTCAACCCTCTTTATATAGTTCCTCATGTTGTGGTGACCCCCCCCCCCAACCAAAAAATTATTTTCAGTGCTTCTTCATAACTGTAGTTTGCTACTGTTATTATAATGTAAATATCTGATATATAGAATAACTGATATACAACCTCTCTGAAAAAGCCGTTCAACCCCTCAGAGGGGTTGTAACCCATGGGTTGAGAAACCACCTTTTTAGAACATTGCTACCCATATGTAATGCAAGGAGCACATCAGATGCCTTAGCAGTTTGCTAGGAAAACAGTCTCAGACCTCAGCTCAGAAAGTCCAATAAATAATCTGCATTTCAGCAATACCTTGGGTGACCTACAGGGCTTTAAGGTTGGAAAAACCTGCCCTTGCCTACTTGCCTACTCCTTATGTCTGTTTCTTGAAAAACATGCTTGTAAGATCACCTGGCTTTTCAAAAATGTTAAAATAGTTTAGAATACTGGAAAGGGTGTGTTTTAGAATCTATGAATTTCAGTTACTATTAATTTTGGAGCCTGAAATGAAGCTAATGTATGTGGTTATTATCATCTGACAAGTTTAAAAACTTCACCCTACAAAAGTACAATGTGGGATGTATACATTGGCAGTTACTGGAAAGATTTTTGATGTTGTTGTTGTTGTTTTTAGCTATGTCTCATGTAGCCTAGGATAGCCTTGGACCTGTGTACTGAAGGATGACCTTGAATTTCTAAACCCCTGCTTCCAGGTACCATGATTATATGCTCTCAAGCCCAGTTTATTTGGTGCTGGAGATCAAACCCAGGCCCAAGTACATGCCAGGAAAATTCTCTACCACCTAAGCCACATCCCCAGCCCCAAAGTTTTGTTTGTTTTTCAAGATTTATTAAATCTTTGAAGTCCAGTCCAGGCATGAGATTTAAATTTTCCTCCAGGTGATTCCCAGGTAGAGCCAAGGTGGAAAAGAACCCTTAAGATAAACAGACTAAATTTGCACATTAGAGCCAAAATTGTGTGGCAGTCGGGTGAGGAGAGAGGAGGAGAAGCTAGCCCCCCCCCCCCCCCGCCACACACACACACACACACTGGACCTCGGAGCCCTGGTTTCTCATCTTCCTTTGCCCACCTTCCAGTTACACTCTGGCAAACTGATGAGAAATAGCTTCTGAGGTGCCTGGCATGGCAACCCTGCTTTCCCAGTCGAAGATTGGCAAGTCCTAAGTAACTTCAGGGCAAACAAGAATCTCTGAAATTGTGACTGTTTTGGAATCCTAGCTAGAAGGTTCCAGTAATTATACCCCCAGCACTGCCCTGCCCTGGTAACTTAACCACGACCAGACCTGTGCTGAAGGCCGAACTGTTCCAAAGAAGGAACAGCAGAGGATTGTGCTGGACCGGTCCTGTGCCTTTGCTGCAGGTGGCTCTCCAGCTTATTTCAGGCCACATAGGTTAGTAAATAGAGAAGTCGATAGTCTTCCTTTTCCTAACCCCCATCCCACTGGGCGAGAAAAAGAAGCGAACCCTTGAGCAAACGGGAAACCACAGACAGCAGGTCTGTGCTTGAGAGAAACCCCCAGTGTGATTCACACATGGGGGAACACTTGCATACTCTCTCTCTTGCCAGCTGCCGCTGCTGCGAGCCATCAAGCTCTCCACTCTCACCTTGAGCTGAGAGACTCTCAGACCTCCTGCCTCCCTGTGGTTGTCTCATTTGATTCTTACTTTTAGAGACAGTGTCCTGGTGAAGAAGATAGGGCACGGGCAGTGCCTGCTTTAGAGATGAGGGAAGTATAGAGTAGTGACTCCCCCTCTGCATGAAGGTATGTGGACAAAACCCGGGTGTTTGGCTCACAGCCCTAGATGGCCATATCATTTCAGGTGAAAGCAATCCCTGTCCCCGAAGAATTTGGACACGTTTCCTAAGTGAAGGCGATCTCAGGATCTGCCACACATTTAGTAAGAAGCTGTGCCCCAGATGGAGTGTGGGACACTGACACAGGAAGAATTACTTTTGGGAACTTGCAGTCCACATGAGGAGGCAAGGGTAACAGTTAAAGGGCTGATGCTAATGTTGGATTCAGAGCGCTTGAAAATACATCTATTGTGATTTTTTTTAAGTGTGTGTGTGTGTGTGTGTGTGTGTGTGTGTGTGTGTGTGTGTGTAAGCCAGCAGCTCATGCCTTTAATAGAGCATCCAGTAAGTTGAAGCAGAAGAATTCTGAGTTCTTGGCTAGCCTGAGCTACAGAAGGACCACATTTTAATCACACTAATATTGAAAGCCAGGGGTGATTGTGAAATTGACAGTTTCCACAGGGAGCCAGGCCAGCAGAAATGGAGGATATGAGTCTGGGGAGAGGAAAGGATGAAGGAGAAAAGGTGTGAGGTAAATACAGACTTAGGGAGACTGTAAAGCTTGTGACAGGACATGAAAGGATGGGAGAGCTGGGAGATGAGGACAGGAAAGGGAAATTGAGACTATCTGGTGAAGGGCTCTGAATGTCAGGCGGGGACCTGACCTGCAGACAGAGGACAACTGCATGGAGCTATTAATGGAGTGTTGGGTGACTGAGGTGAGGGAGTAACAAGATGCTGGGTCAAGCTTGATTCTAGAACAGTCTGGGAATAGGCTGGGGCTTAGAAAATTGTCCTGGGCCAGTATCCCTGGGAAGCTTCAGCTGTTTTCTCCCAAGTCTAGCATCTGCTAGCAGAGGTCTGTTCCTAGCCAAGCTGGCATCACCAGGAAGCTGAAGGCTAGAAAAGCAGGGAAGCTGTTCAGACAAGCAGGAGTGTCCAGCTGAGAAGCTATGGTGGAAATTGGTTAGGAGGAGGAAGCTGTGTTTAGGGGCAGGGAAGTCCCAGAGGCTGAAGCAGCATTGGGCTACCAGACCCACACCTTCATTCCCCAGGCTCTGCATCGACAATGAAACCCTGCTGAAATTCTGTTTGTATTGAGTGGGTTGGACACTGATGCTTAGCTGGAAGCAGGGTGGACTTCTCAACAACCACTACGAACCATGTGACCTGAAGGTAAGGGAGTGGGGGAGAGGGATACAGTGAAGGGTGTGTTGTTGCTGGTAGGACTTCAACATGAAGACATTCCGTTCATGAACTGGTTTGCCTGGGTTGGGTGGAGAACAGGATTGCCACCTATTGGCTGGGGAGGTAGGTAGGTCTTGACATAGGCCTCGCAGTGTAAGGCTGTGACCCTTAAAATTATGTCAAAATCTGCATCTTACTAGAATGTAAATGAGCATCTATATGGTCACATGGTACTTGATTAATTTTGAGATTTATTTTGTTCATCCTTGGAAGCCAACATTCTCACAATGTCTAAGGGCCATATTCAGAATAGCCCACTTTCTAAGTCTGGGGAAGACTGCAGATGATTCGAGATCTGCAGGATTTTTGTTGGTTTCCAACCTCTTGATCATACTGTAAATTTCTGTGTGTTTCTTTTCTGTGTATATCATATCTATCACAATTAGGACTATTCTATTTGTGTAGTTCTTTGCATACTTCCTTTCACCTAACTTTATGTTGTAAACATTTTCACATGATTAAAAAAATTCTCCAATAATAGTATTAATGGTTGTATTTCATTGATTCGTTTAAATATTCCCCTGTTTAGCTG